CATTGACCTCGCATCCCTACAAAGCCGGGACGGAGCACGCCGGGTTCTCACCGGACCAGGCTCTCACATCACCAAGCGCGAAGCGCCGTGAGGTACTCGGCGAGTCGCACGAAGGGTTCGCTGCATCCTGCGGAAACTACTCGGCATCTGTGCTTACTTCCTTGCGTACGGATGACAGCTGCGTATGATTTAATTCATGTTCTGGTACTTGACTTCCAGAGACAGTTGTTAGCAGTGTGTAACTGCCTCGAGGGTGCTTGACCATTTACACACAACGTGGTGCGATCATCCCCCTCGCGCGGAGTGAGGGTTCTCCACCCCGCTCAACATGATCTACTCGACCACTATCATGGTTACCGCCAATAAAAAAACAGGGGTGAAAAAAAAAAAAGCGGTAACCTGGTTGCCGAGTTCACGAAGTGAATTGGCTTGTTTTACAACGTGGTTGCCAAGCGACGAAAACACAACCCCGATTGTAAACACCGGGGGGGAGGAGGGGGCTTGTTTTACAACGTTATTGCCAAGCGACGAAAACCTGACCCCGATGGCAAACACTACGGGTCGGGGGGGGGTAAACTCGGGTTGCGATCTGAGTCCTTGAAAATCCGACCACGTTTCCGAGCCGGAACCATGAGTGATGGCGCAACCGCGAAACTACAAGCGTTTGACGCGCTGTGTCACCAAACAATGAAACATTCGTAACAAGGCAGACATGGGGTTACGATTCGCGATGGGATTCCCCTACTCTCGGTGTTAAAATAATGGCCTACAAGCGGAGTTCGAGGGGATATCCAACCTTGAAAGGCTTGTCGCGCAGTCCCAACCGACGCCTAACTCACTCACTGTGTGACAGCATCACCAACGTAGATTGCCTATGGTTCTGTACGTCTGGCTGTCTGCCTATCTGCCGCCCCTTTGCCCTGTTTACTCCGTTACTCCCATGCCCTGGTGCGCAGTGCCTGGTGCTGGTACGTTACCCTTTGATTTTTTCTTTCGGCGGGTGTGGGAAGCNCGCAACGTCGTATGTGCCGGGTTTTGAGACCACGGGCTCCCCATTTTTTGTGGACTACAGAGCTAATGTGAGAAACAACAGCAACAACAACAACTGTCCGACGTGGCGTTCCGTCCTCTCGCTATATGACGGTCTAACCCAATCGGATACATGCCGTCGACGAGACCAATCGTTCTTCATCTCACCCTCTCGGCTTTAGCCTGCTGTGCTCTGTCCGTAGCGTCATCTCTGGCCGCATCGCCGTTGCCGTCGTTGGAGGAGGACTCCATGAGCTTGAGGATTGATTCGAAAACCGGGGAGTAGTCAGTCCAGAATCGGCCTTTATCGTTGACCTTCGGCCTTTACGAACGGAGGAGTACAGAAGAACGATGGCAGGCGAATACATGGCAGAAGTATTCATACGTGTCCAATCTCGTTGCACTCGATGTACGTGGATAACCGTTNGAGACCAATCGTTCTTCATCTCACCCTCTCGGCTTTAGCCTGCTGTGCTCTGTC